TAATCTCTGACAAGATTATTTCCCTGAAAGGACCTAAATTTACAGATGTTTCAGTGAACAGCGCCTCTAATTAATTAATTAGGAATGTTTTCAGCATTTAAAAGACAAACACACTTTAATTTCAGTAATAGGATTCCAAAAACGGTTCGTCCGATGTTTAAGCGTAGTTAAAACCAATTATTGTTCATTACTTTGACAAGTATGTTTAGAAACTGCACACTTATTGGCTTTAATTTTGTCACACTAGCTGGATGTAAAATATCGGGTTTAAAAAATCACTGTAACAACAGAAAATTTAGTGTCGATGTTGTAACCATAAACTGACGTAATGCCCAAAATTGTACCACTTAACTAACGTGGTAGATCCTTTGTATATATTTGCTTCACAAACCAAACACACAGTCCCTAATTAAACAAAACAGTGGATATTTGTGCATATGGAGTCCGGTCCCGATACTGAGCAGCTGTCAAAGCTTTATATCGGTCTTGACAAATTTATAATTTCCAGCATTTAAAAATAAAAATATAATTTAATTTTTTTTTATTAACAACAGCCAAATTGGCTATTAGCGAAACAATGATAGAGAACAATAATTTATATTGTTACATTGATGTTAGTTTAGATAACATATAAAACGTTAAAATTAAGGTTAAAAAACTTTTTATGTTTGAAATATTGCACTGTAGACCTAAAATATCACTTAGTTTGTTTGGTATACTGTACGACATGCGCTTTGACGTTAATGCTGGACATTTCTCCAATATATGTTTGGTTGTCAATTTTTCATCACAATTATCACATCTTGGTTCTTGTTTTTTTCGAGAACACGTAGCTATTCGTTAGTCGCGTATGACCCAGTCGAAGTCGCGTTAATATTACCTGGTCTGTCCAACTTGTTGGTAATGTGAGCCAGGGTTTTGTCCCTCCACTAACTCCATTTGTAGAGCGACGAAACAATGTGAGAGTGCATAAGTATCGATCGCCAAACGGCACCAAAATAGTACCAAATAAAACAGCGGACATCGATCTTTGTTTTCCGACCAGAGAACCAGTTGTTTTTTTTTGGACATTGCTGCCTTGAGCAAGGTACATCGTTCCGTGTTGTTATCGGCAGCCGCTAGAAGTGTATGATTTTCGTCGGACATATTGAAATAGAATGGACTATAAAAATGTTACTTAATTACTGCTTGCAATCCCAATAAGGACGGTCAACATAAAAGTTATCAACATGTTATTAGTTAAGAATGGATTCTTCTTCCTTCTTCGGGTTCCTTCTCCTAGCGGAGGTTGGAAATCATCATCGTTATTTTAACTTTGTTGGCCGCATTTCTGAATAATTCTAATGAGCTGCAGTCGAACCACTCTCTCAAATTTCTTAGCCAGGACATTTTGCGTCGTCCTGGGTTTCTCTTCCCTTGTATCTTCCCTTGCATAATCAACCTCAGTAATACGTACTTCTCACCCCTCATTAAATGTCCCAGATATTGAATCTTTCTAATTTTAACAGTTTTTATGACTTCGCATTCTTTCTTCATTCTTTGTAACACTTCTATATTAGTTACTTTTTCAATCCACGATATTTTATGCATTCTCCTGTAGCACCACATCTCAAAGGAGTTTAATTTTTTGATTTCAGACTGCTTTATTGTCCACACTTCCATGTCATATAGTAAAGTAGAGAAGACGTAACAACGTAGCATTCTTGTGCGAATCTCTAGATTAAGGTTACGGTTGCAAAGTAATTTCTTCAATTTTATGAACGTGTTTCTTGCCATTTCTATTCTAGATCTGATCTCCTTTACTTGATCTCCATCTTCGGTTAGCCACGTTCCTAAATATTTATATGTTTTTACTCTTTCTATCGTTGTATTATTGATGATCAGGTTATTTACATTTTGTGGTTTTTTTGAGAATATCATTGATTTCGTTTTCTTGAGATTCATTTGCAGTCCGTAACTTTCACATGCATTGTATACATGTTGTATTATGTACTGTAGATCTTCCATGTCACTTGCAAATATGACAGTATCGTCGGCATATCTAATATTATTAATGCTATTTCCGTTGACATAAATACCTTCCACGATATCCAATAAAGCCTCTTGAAAAATCACTTCACTGTAGACGTTGAATAAGAGTGGTGAAAGGATACACCCTTGTCGAACTCCTCTAAGTATACTTACTTCCTCTGTCAGTTCTCCTTCGACTCTTACTCTTGCTTTCTGGTTTTGATACAGATTCGATATAATTTGTAGATCTCTACTATCAATGTTTTTAGTCTTAAGAATACTTAAAAACTTCTCATGTTGAACTCTATCAAAAGCTTTCGTGAAATCTATAAAGCAAGCATATATGTCCTGATTCATATCCAGGCATCGTTGTGTCAGAACATGGACTCCAAATAATGCTTCTCTAGTTCCTAGACCCTTTTTGAAACCCATCTGTGAATCACTTATTTCTGTTCTAATTTCATGTGGATTCTGTTATGTATGATTTTAAGGAAGGTTTTCAATGTGTGGCTCATTAACGCAATTGTTCGATAGTCATTGCAATCTTTAGCATTTGTGGTTTTTGGAATCGTCACAAAAGTTGAGAGAAGCCACTCTTTGGGTATGTGTCCCGTCTTGTATATGGAGTTAAAAAGGTCTACCAAGACATCAATATTATCTTCATTAATTATCTTCAATAGTTCAATTGGTATTTCATCGGGTCCTGGAGCTTTTCTGCCTTTTGTGTGTCTTATAGCATACATAACTTCCTCTTTCATTATTTCTGGTCCCGTGGTTTCTCCGTTAACTTCTAATAATTGTTCTACTTTTTGATCATAAAATAGTTGTTCAATGTATTCTCTCCATCTACGTAGTTTGTCTTTCGTTTCAGTTATAGTGGTACCATCTGCATTTTTTAATATCCCGATTGGTTTGATACGATTTCCTGAAATCATTTCTTTAACCTTCTTATGGGTGTTGAAAGTGTCAAACCTTTCTGCGAGAATGCGAGGCTCGCATTCCTCGATTTCTTGACATTTAATGGACATCCATGTTTCCTTAGCTTGTATTATTTTCTGTTTTATTTGTTTATTAATTTCTTGATATTTAATTTTATCTTTGTTTTTATGTGTTCTTCTTTCGTCCATCTTTTCGAGAATTTCTTGTGTCATCCATTCTTGTTTGGCAGTTTTTGTAAATGTTAAAGTTTTCCGTCCCACAGTCTCGATTGCGTTGCGTTGCGTTGTTGTTTTATTTCTTGGATACTTTGATTTATTTTGTTTTGAGTTTCTTGGTATGTATTTGGTTCTCTTAACTTATCAATGCATATTTCTGGTCTAGATCTTTTCATTAATGGTTTTCTCAATCTTACATTCATATTTGCTACTACTGGGTTGTGGTCCGAGTTTACATCTGCTCCAGGGTAAGTCTTCACTACTGTAATAGAGTTCTTGTACCTGTTCCTTATCAAAATGTAATCTATCTGATTTCTTATGATTCTATCTTTGCTGTCTCTAGGAACTTTCCACGTGTAGAGCCGGCGATTTGGTAATTTAAACATTGTATTCATAACTACTAGTTCTTCTATTTGGCACATCTGAATTAGTCTTTCACCACGCTCATTTCGCTCTCCCAATCCATACATTCTAACACAACTATCCACACTTCCTCTGCCCACTTTGGCATTAAAGTCACCCATTAGTATCAGAACTTTAAGTTTTTGGTTGTTTTCATTATTGTTTCTAATTGCTCGTAGAAGTCTTCTATTTATTGTTCCTCCTTGTCAGCTATTGGTGCATATACTTGAATAACATTCATTTTCCCTATATTGGTGTTAATTTGTAGCATTATAATGCGATTCGAAAGCGGGGTGAAACCAAGTACGGATTTATCTATTTCCTTGCTTACCATTATGGCCACACCATATCGGTTTGTTCTATCAGAATATCCACTATAATATATAGCTCCGTTTCTAGTCCGTTGTTTTCCAGACCCTGGCCATTGTACATCGCTTATTCCTAGAATTTCGATATTTAATCTTTCCATTTCTATCGCAGTATTATCTACTTTACCTGATTGTAGTAAGCTTTGCACGTTCCATGTTGCAATTCTCATATTTCCTCTTGTGGCAATTTTTAAAAGTGTTCTATTATTTACATCACAGGGATTTCGCTGGCTTACGACCTGGGAAGCCTTGTGGCTAACTAGTGATTTACTTCCCATGCCGGATCTTGGTTTCCGCGGCTCATGATCAGTAAGGTTACTGGATTATATGCTCTAAAAAATGGTTAAAATATGCATGCAACGTGCACTTAAAATGTAACCAAACATGCCTTTATTATATGCAATATGCATTTTATAAATGCATTTTAAAAAATATTTTTTAACTTTTAGGGCTTAAAATTTGGTTAGAAATGTTGGAAATATAATGTTATGCATTATTTTGTAAAAAAATTTTATAAAAGTTTGTCGTCGATTTGATTGTTATGATTTACAGGATGATTATTTGTTACCTGTATGTACCTTTGCTAAGTTGTGAATTAATTATTCAAAAAATATTACTACCCTGGTATACTCGTATTATTCTAATTACCCCATAACCGCGCAAGACTTTTCACCACAGGGGGTGGGTGTCTTTAGATGTGTCAAGATGACTTTAGTTTAGAATATTCTTTGTGAATAGATTTTGGTTTCGTAAAGAAAAAAAAATTAAATAGAGATCCCACTGAATTTAACCGTTAGGATTTTCGAGGATAAGCCTTAAAACTATAATTAGATACACTAAGAGAAACTTAAATCACGGATACAATAAGTTGAATATAGTTAAATACAATGAAATCAACCTTTAGAAAATATTACCACTATAATTTTGTAAATGTGAATTAGACTATTTAAATTTTGTCTTTTGTATTATATTTATTAACTGCAAGAATATTCCACTATATATAAAAAATAATTTTAGAAATTTTTACTAAATATTTATTACATACATCCATTTTTTATTATTACAGATGCCAGTGCCACGTAACAATTACTCTGGTCCGGTATTCGGAGTAGTAGGAGGATCCTACAGTTCTGTATCTCTCCAAGTGGCCAACCTTCTGGGACTATTTCACATACCTCAGATATCCCCGGCCTCGACAGCGAAGGCACTAAGCGACAAAACTAGATTTAAATATTTCGCCCGCACAGTTCCTCCTGACACTTTTCAGTCGAGTGCTTTAGTCGACATTGTCAAAAGTGTCAATTGGTCCTATGTATCGACGATCTATTCAGAAGGATCCTACGGGGAATATGGAATTGAAGTGTTCCACAGGGAGGCTCAAGAACGTAATGTCTGCATCGCCACTGCTGAGAAAGTGCCCAGTGCCGCAGACGACAAAGAGTTCGACAACATTATTTTAAAATTGAAAAAGAAAATAAACGCTAGGGGCGTCGTGCTTTTTACTAGAGCTGAGGATGCTAGGTAAGTTTATTTAGACAAATCTGTACTTTAAATTACCATTGTCATATATTTTTCTATATTTTGTTAATATTATTATAGACATATTTTAAAAAGAAAAAGTAACATTAAAATGTAAAAGGTGTACGAAATACAAGAAAGATTGCATAATTAAAAACAAAATATTCAGTTCAAATATATTAACACTTTGAGCGCCGTGTGTATCCAAAAGTATACACACGTGAGGGTCAAAATCGCTGCGTGTATACTTTTAGATACACATGTAAAGTTTTGGTTAGAGCGATGTGTATGGCTCCAACACATAGAGCGCAATACCTAGGTATTTCATTCAAGTAACTGACGTGGCCGGTTATGACGATTATCCAGCCACAAAGTTGACGATTTATATATGAGTTTTGGACTGACCTCACTTGTTTTTTCTTTTTTCTTAACCGATCACTGGGGGGAAATTGGTGTTATTAGTAACAGTTTCCTTTCATTGTTTGGTTTCTTATAGACAGGTCATCTCCCAAACTCATCTTACTCTTTAAATATACCGCTCCATTATTAGGGTTGGTATCTCACTTCGCTGATCTGTCATAATTTCATGACATCAAGGTGGCTGTCTCTTCACGTTTTTTGGCGCTTTTGTTCTAATCTATCGCCATTTTACCGGCGGCAGTCTAGAAGCCTGGAGTGGTAATTTCATTATACGTTACATTATTAAATTTCAATATTAATCACTTTAATAATGTTGCCTAAAGTTAAAATTAAATCATAATTATTATTATACCGTTGGAAGTGCCTCTTTGATGTTCTTAGTTCTTCAATCTTATGTTAATGTTTTTTATTACTTATACATGTATATTAGACCACATGTTCTTTCGCTGTGCTAAGTTTTAACAATTAGTGTTAATTATAGTTAGTTCAATTATTTGTTTATACATCATAATCATATTATGTCCATTTACTCAAGCTTCTTTACATTTTTAATATAAAATTTAATATAGTATGCTTTCTGATTAAGAAAGCGAAACGTCTTCAATAAATAAATGAAGTAGCCATCAACTTTGTCTTTTTTCTCCACCTTTTGACCGATAAAAAAAACCCACCACTCGTCTGAGTTATCCTTAATTTATATTGGATTGACGGTCGTACTCCTTTGGATTGGATTGGACTGACAGCCGAGATATATATATATATATATATATATATATATATATATATATATATATATATATATATATATATATTTATATATATATATATATATATATATATATATATATATAATATATATATATATATATATATATATATATATATATATATTTATATATATATATATATTTATATATATATATATATATATATATATATATATATATATATATATATATATATATATATATATATATATATACTAAGATAATATTAAATATCGAATGAAGAAAGGAAATCAAAATATTTAGAAACCTAAAGAAGGAAGAATATTTTGAAATGGTGGAAGTTGATAATTGAAACATTGTGGTCTATTTTACAAAGCGATTTCATAAAAAGAAGGATAACCAGAGGCTGATAACGGAGACATTGAGTGGCGATTAAAACCTTTATTTTGGAAAACCTATCCACTTCACCTGAGGATATTCTCTTCAGAATATTCCCTCAAGGACTAGTAACTAAATCCTTAAACTAGTTAGCAACTCTCCTGGATTTTGCCGTCACTCCAGATAGACCAGCGCCTGGTTTGACTAAATTAGACTCCCCTGGGTTTGTCCTTACAGCCAAAAACTGATGTAACCGTGCCAACAGGAATTTTCCTATGGACTTATGGGGCTGTAAAGATAAGTTGTTTGACTGTGTAATTTTTTTTTTGTTACTATCTATTTAATTGTTTAACTTTTGTTACTTCCTATTTAGTAGTATACCCTCTTCATATGCATATGACAAGGTGAACATTTTTTTTTTGATAATTTAATTATAAAATATTCGGGGAGGAAAAAGGGACATTTCATGTGTTATTAGGTTTTAGTTAGGATTTCAAGAGTCTGACCGAACTCACTTGTTGATTTAATATATATATTTTTTAATAGAATACATTTTTTGGATATAATACAATTTTGATTTTGGGAAGGGAAATAAATTTCATGTGGTTTTTTTTTAAACATTATATAAAGAGTATTGAAGACTCATTTTTTGGATATAATATAATAATTGTAATAGATTTATCAAGGTTGATATCTTTACAATATTGTCATTAGTATCTCATATTAGTAGAACTATTTAAAGTTAAATTACTACCTTTTGTGTTAAGACTTTGGCTATCATACGGACTATCCTTAAATTGTTACTAATATTTTAAACTTTATTTGGCCAGTGGTAGTGACTTTTCGCTTGTTGAGGGGCTATAAGGTCCCATTGTATATTTACACCATCCACTACCACTGTTATTTAGCTTTGCATTATATGTAAATTGTGTATACACATATACCTATATACATTTTTTATAAATATATTTATTGTTGCTATTTTGAGTTTTATTTCAGTTCTACTAACCAGTATATAACATAGCAAGACAAGATTAGTATTTAGTATTTTTGTATTTCAGAGTATTATCTCCAGATTCATTTGTTACTTCAAAATCTCAACTATCGTTGAGTTGGCGCCCTTCTTTTCTCTTCTTATTGTTCTCTTTCTATAAATTTATTCCCAGTGACCTTCTTCAGTTGTATCACGTTTGATATTACCAGGTCTCATTTCTTTCTTGTCTCTTTAGCTCATTATCTCTTGTTATTGTTGTTTATATCTTTAAAGCCACAATCCAGTGCATTGAAGCTAGCCCGAACACTCACTTGAGATTTAGTGTCTCTTTGGCCATTTAAATTTGTTCCTCTGAGCTTAGCCCTATTTTTAGTATTTTTTTTTCATCACTTCTCTTTCAGTTCTTCTGAAATTTGGAAGTTCTACACTTCCAAAAACCCAATACTCCCGGAGTATTGAGCGTTTCAATTGGCGTTAATTGAAACAGATCGAGCCCACAACATGAAACTCATTTTATGACAGCCAACATTGCAGTCATAAAATTATGACATAGCAACAAGGTTGAAATACCAACCCAAAATATAGGGCGGTGTATTTGAAAAGTAAGAGACCAAACAATGAAAGAAATTGGTTTTGATAACAACAATTCCTCACTTGATATATCAGTCTAGATCGAAAAACCAGGCGAAAGTCATTCAACCTCATATATAAATATAAATCGTCAACGTTGTAGCTGGATATTCAGCCACAGGTGATCAACGATAATAATTTCCACAGTCCAAGGTTCATAAACTTGGAACTGTAATTTGTAGGGGATTCTATGAATCAATTACATTATTCGTATTATAATATTTAATCATTAAACAATTCACACTAATCTGTGTATAAGAAATAATGAAAGAATGCAATGTAAGTTGCATAAGTTTATGTAAAAATATTGAAATATTTTATTTATGTTATGAATTTATTTTTATTTTAATACGTTAATTATATTGTAAATTATTTAATAAACAAATGTGTTAAATTGTACACCTTACAAGACACTTATATAGTAACTAGATGGGGTTAAGCCCAATTTCGCAAAATTAAAGCATGATATATTTGGCTCAAGTTATTTATGTCAGTTCTGTTATTTAGAGCATTCGGGTGTTTAAGAATTGAACACATTTCCAAAAACTGTCTTTTAACGAGATTGCGTTCAGTGCCAAGAATCTTAACTTCATTAAAATCCACCTTATGTTTAGTATTGATGGCGTGTTGCGCCAGAGCACAAGTGTGCTTTGATAGATTAATGTCACTACGATGTGAAGTGAGACGACCTTTTAATGATCTCCCAGTCTGACCAATATAACAAGAATCACACTCGACACAAGGTATGTGATAAATGGTGTTAACTTGTTCCAAAGTGGACAAGGGCGTTTTGGTTTTTGAAAACAAATTTCTAACTGTCTTAGCGTTCTTGACCGTAATTTTGACAGGTATGTTATTCTGTTTATACAGTTTAATGAGTTTCTCGGTAACTTGAGGAAAATAAGGTAAAGATGAGTAATGGGTGGTAGGATTCTCAAGATCAGTATCAGGCAGAACAATGCTATTAATTGCGCTATTTGATATGGTTCTAAGTTGGTCACTATTGGGTATGTCATCAAACGAGGATCCATAACTTTGTGAGTAAAGGTATTTACTAATGATAGAAGAAGGATATGAATTCTCAACTAGAATATTTCTTAATAATTTAAGGGATTCCCTTCGATTAATCGGATGTGTCAATTTATTTAATGGGCTGCTTAGAGCTTTAATAAGGTTTAATTTTTATTTCATAGGATGACAGGAATGGTAGTTAAGGAACCTATTAGAGGCCATCGATTTTCTATACCAACTTGTGGTTATATATATATATATATATATATATATATATATATATATATATATAATATATATATATATATATATATATTATATATATATATATATATGTTGTATATATATTGTTGTCACTATCGTTTTAATTTAAGTGGATTTCAATTTGAGTTAGGATCTTGGTAAAGCTTGCTAAAATCTTTTTTTAAATAAAAATTTTTGGAAAACAATACATTGTTACAAGAACCTATCACCTTAACAACTTGCAGTAAATATGTAAAGATAGTGGAACAAAATTGTATACCTTAGGTAAGAATCTTAACTTTACGAATATTATTATATGTAAATGTGAAGATTAGCAGTTATCTAGTCAGCACTTCAAGGCTCCCCAAGGGCAACACCATTAGGGCTCGAGATACGTCGACATAAATTAATTAAACCAAAGAGACACAAATATTATTAGGAACATTTGTAATAGAAATATAATATATTTATTTCATCTCTTAGTACGAGCAAATTATTTAATTTAACAAGATTAAAATATAAATTGATGTAACTACTAGTAATGTTTAACATTTTCCGAATTTAAAGGTACAGTTGAAGGGTCAGAGGGGAAAAACGGTTTTAGTCCATTTAGCAAAATGTGTCAGGAGACGAAAAGCAAAGTTTATTCTTTAAATATAAGGTTTAATTTCTAAGTTAAAAACTTCTCGCACGGTGAGGGCGAGCATTATCATC